ATTAAAAATAGTTTTTAGGCAAAGTTTGTTGCTCGAAACGCCAAACCCATTCTAGAAAACAAATAAAGGGGCTTATCAATTTTAATAATTTTAACTTCCGCCGCTGCTCTGCGCTGACCGCACTGTATTTGGCGCAATGCGGGAAGTATTCCTACAGTCTTGTAGGCGCTATGCGTTTCGCGCCGACCGCAATGTGTCTGACGCAATGCATGAAGTATTCATGCAGTCTTATAGGCGCTAATATGTGTTACATGCCGACCGCCGCGCCGAGGGCTTCTCCTTTTCATCTCAAGTCCTCGTTGTCATTCCTCTCTGCGCTGAGCTCCAGGCCAAATTGCGTGTTTGGTCTCTCTCTTAACTCGATTTATTGAAGGTGTATCTCTTGTATCACTGAAAGACGACAAAATAAGAAATTACTATACTCTAAGGAAATGAGAGATTTTGTCGCCTTTCCTCGATTGTAATTTTGTTTTTGTAAATCCGATTTTTTTTATTACCTACACTTTAAAAAATTGCAAATTTTTGCCGCCCTTTAGATTTGCCGCCATGGGGCCACCCTCTTAATCCGGCCCTAGTATAGAGACATTTCCAGGTATTCCCTGACTTTCCAAAATTCCCTGACTGTGGCAACTCTGCAAGAGAGGAAAGTCCTCTCAAAATTTATAACGTTTCAGTTTCAAAGGCTTCGACCATCAACACACGATTCGTGACGAGGGCGACTGACCTATATGCCAGCTCGCACCGCAAATTCCGGCCGCTATCAATGCGAACGAATCCAAAAGAGCGGGGATTCACGGGACGAAGCGGTAACCCTGCGACTGGTCAACCGCTTGGCGCCTCATGCGTGGGCCGGTGGGCCCCGACCCGACGCGACCCGACCCGGCGCATCCGACTTCCTCCCGATGAACTTTCACGCAGGAGCTTTTGACGTGCGGCCCCCTCGACGGGCGGGGACTCTCCGTCGCCGTCCGGCATGCGATGGATCCCGGCTTTACGAGCGAGGCGTGGACGTCGACGTCCATCGTCGGGGGTTGCGCGGCTCCTTCGTGAGGGCCCCTACGGTGGGCCACTGGGCCCCCAACCCAACGGGGCCCGGCTCGGCTCAACTCCGAACCCCGGCTCACGACTCGCTACGGTTTCCGGTACCTTCAGAGGAGCTATCAAAGTTCAGGTGGTGAGCTGGGTCTGGTGGTGTACCAAGATTTATCATCCGCAGCCTCCGATTTGAATTTGTCACAGGAGTGCAGAAAATGCCCGAACACACATTCGGCCCAGCGCGTGAAAATGTGGAAAAGCCCCAAAAATGTGGAAGGAGGGACCATTTCAAGGGGCCATAAGTCGAAAATCAAAGGAAAACATCAAGAAAAACGCAATCTTTTTTTTAGGTTGGTGAGAAATTTTGTGGAAAACCGATGAGAAAAATATGAAAAGCCGGCTAGCGGGTGCGTGAAAATGTGCAAGCTTGGAAGATTCTGCATCCCTGATTTTTCAGAGGACCAAGTTTGGCAGACAGGAAACAGATCTGTGGACACCATTACTAAAACGTCTTCTGTGTCGGAGAATCAATGGCAGCCGAGTCGTATATAGGCCGATCTGGACACTGGGGGTTTCGAGCGGGTGATGGCGTAGAAGGGCCCGGGGGGCTCCCCAGAGCAGAAAAAGTGCTTTCCACACTTTAATCCATCCTATCAACCCTATTTTTCCGACCTTGGCGGCAAATGGGAAGGAAGATATTAAAAGATTACACCTCTCACTTCTGAGGGAGACAAAAAAATATCCCTTGTAGGTATCAATCAGCGAGTTCCGTACCCGCTTCCCAGTTCAGAGGACGATTGACAGAACCAAATTTGAAAAAACTTCAGTCGATACATAATATGAACCATAGGGCCTGGAAGTTTTCCTGTCAGTTACTCTACAGTTCTCCGCATCGAAAGTCGGTGCCGCCATCTGAAAAGGTCAATTAGGAAGCGCGGATTGGGGGTTTAGTACTCTGAACCGGAGAGCGGCTCCTGAACTTGTCCGTCCACAATCCACATGACGGAGATTTATTTCCGGTCGGCTTAAAATAACACCAGGAGCCTCCCGTTTTAGTCTTCCGGCTCGTTCTTGCGATTTTTTCCGCGACCATGCGGGTAATCCTCACAGACACGGCGAGTCTCCGGAGCAGGAACTGCATCAATTCCTCGGGCTGGAGCCGGGCCGTCTCCGGCGGACAATGGCCGAGAGGTTGCGACAGCCCAAGAAACCGGGTCGGTCGCGGAGGCTACGAATTGGGAAAACAAAGAGCCATCGGCAACGGGCGCATGGAGCTGCCGTTGGAGACAGTATCATGCTCGAATTTAGATGGTATCGGTAGCTGCCGTGCAGGATGGCTACCTCTCTCGACTCCTAACTCACCGCCGACGGAGCTTTCGTTTTGAATAGAATAATCGGAGCCTGCATCCATCTTGAACGCGGGGCGACGTACGGTCGTTGCGTTTTGATGACTTGCGCCGATAGGGCTTCGCGCTGCGGTGCAGTGCGGTGCGCACGGTTGCCTGACCAAGGTGGAAATCGACGACTCGGCCAAAAACCTCCATTAAGGGCTTGGAGCACAAAGCGCGTAAGTGCAATTACACTACTTCGTGAAATAAGTGTTTGAAGTTTCGAAATTAAATGGATCCTGATGGCGGAAAGAAAGTTTAAACGCAAAATAACATTTAAAAAAGATGACGACATTTGATTTAGGACTTAATGCTCAATCGTCTAACTTAGGGACTTGTTTGCGAATTTCGCGATAAGCACAGTTTTCTGAGTGAAACTGAGAGCGACGCCGTGCATACCAACATTTATACTCAGCACCGTTTAAAAATTTAAAATCTCGGGGTGAAATAAACTTCAGAAATTATATAGCTGCCCAATAATCAGGGTGAGGAGTCTATCTTCTTTTTGCGGAGTGAAATCCGCTCTAAGATCAGATCCGCTATTACACGACTTGGACTGGTGCGCAGATTAACACATTCCGGGTTTCATTCCTACACTTCGAAAAATAAGTTGACCGGCCTGGGGACGGCTTGCGTTACGGTTTCAGTATTTCACACCGCTTAATTTTCCAAATCAAGGAGATCATATCAATCATATGAAGCTGCGCAATTCGCGACATTCCGGAACCTCCCCCAGCGCCCAACACCGCTTCCGGTGCAGGACCGAGCCGAATGAAAAATGAACCCCTAGATTGGGGGCGGGGGCACCCTCCTGGCCGAAAGCGGGAGGCTAGTTCATTTCCTCGCCCTTCTGACGTAACAACCTATCTCTATTCCCACATGAGCCCCAGGAAGCATCGAGTCATACGGAGAGCAGGGCTCACCTGGAAATCGAGATACGCCCTTACGTCAGAGGGGCGAGGATTTGGGGAGGGCTCCGGCCGAGGCGTGAATGATCGATTATCGATACTTGTCCATTCAAAGCTGTGGTAAAGAATCGATCATTAAGGTGTTTGATGCGAACACCCTGTTTATCGATCCTTTTCCAAAGGTTTAAATGGCAGATCAATCGATATATCGCCAAGTGCGCCACGCCACTAGGGGGCGACCGTGAAACTGGGGCGACGTGTGTCCCGTTGCGAGGGGCGTCGAGCCGCCGGGGTTTAGGGGATGGGGGGGGGGCGTGGGTGATGATCAAATTAGATTATTTCCATCGCTGCGTTTCGCGGATTCCACGCGCTCTTTGTTCCGGGCCCGAACAATGAACTACGACCTGCGCATCCGAGCGCCGCAACCGCTGCGGATTTCGCCCCTCCCTTCCTCCCTATCACCCCTCCCTTCCTCCCTGTCGCCTTTCACTGCATCCTGCATCGCCGGGGATGTGCACCGCGCACGACTCCGACGCTGATGTGATATCGGATTTTGGTCAGCTAACGATGGGCTATCTCGCGAGTGCCTATCAGGGTGTCTACTAAAACAGGCTGGCCAAAAATCAGTACTTTTACAGTACGTTTCCAAGAAATTCAGCACCTCATCGAGAGAAAAATTCAGTACATTTCAGTACCTCCAATTGACGAAATTCGAAAATTTTTAAAAATTTGACTTTCCTGCTCCAATTGCGACAAAAATGGAAAAAAAAATCCGGACCTTCTTGAGAAATTTCCGCGCTTTTTCGGTACTTCCAGACTGCCCTGAAAAAATCAGTACTATTTCCGGACTTTCCGGAAATTCCGAACTTGTAGACACGCTGTCTACATGGTGAGAGTGCGGACATGTCGGTAATTTAGAATTTTTAGTCGAAAAAAGAATGATAGCACCTGCGCATGCGCCACACAAATCATTCTAAACCAACACTGACAACAACTATCGATACCTGTATCGAGTGTGAGGTTTTTTCCGAACAGAATCCTTCTTTCATCTCTTGGTATTTTGCCAATTTTTTGGTTTAGATTGGTTCTTGAGTTTTATGCGCGGGGGCTAAAAATTCAAAATTTACCGAGATATTTGACTCAATCGATGCGATCTACCGCACGCCAGTTCGATCGCCCCAGAAATCGCGACGAATCACCCTCTGGGGTGCAGATATTGGAAAGCTACACGTAGAGGCAAAAGCTAAAATCCAATAATGAGTCAAAATTTGCCAATTCTTTAAAGCGATTCTCCCCGGATTTCGCGTGTCATTACGCCCAATGGGCTGATCGTTGAAATTGGTGGAAAAAGCTATATGGAAGGATCCTATTGGTGGGAGGAGGTGATAGCGATGACAAGGAAGGTGGGTAATAGACTAAATAACGCAACCCACGAGAGACCTTATAGTTAGTCCATCATTTTCTCCCTTAGTCTCTCGGTATCCCCGTTTCGACCAATAGGATCGCTCCACACTCCATATGTCTTCTTTGTCTATCGCTTTGTCTATCAATGCCAAGAATCAGCCCGCAGCCCCCCTCCCCCATTAATTTTTTGACTTTTCGAGCCTCCCCAAGTTTTCCTTGACTGTAATGACTATGGTTTCCAATAACAGTTGAGGGGTGTACTTACCATACATCTTGCCCTCGTCGGAGAGGATGATCTTGCGGCGGCCGCACGGCGGGTAGATGGAGAGGGCCTCCTGGAAGCTCTGCTCGATGTCGGGGCTCCAGACGCCCTCGGCGTCGGCGGCGGCGAGGTCCTTGTCGTCATCGCAGTCGCCCACGTCGAGCCGCTCCAGCCGATCCAGGGCGTGCTTCGAGTCCGAGCCGGAGCCATTCGTGTCGGTGGCTTGCGGCCCGGCGCTGGCCGGAGTCCACGGCGAGGAAATGGTGCCAGATACCGACCCGTACCCTGCAAACCAGAATCATCCTCGTCAAAAGAGCATTACGCACATTACACTATCCTACATAAACAAGCCGATTAAAAGCGTCATCGCGGGTATCCCACCCAACACACTGGAAAAAAAAACCACATTGGATCTTGAGTCCAGACTCTTGAAAACATTGACAAGAAAAAGGACTTCTTGAATCAATCAGATTTAAGCTTAAATCAAAAGGAAATCCGCTCAAATTAAGAGGCTTGGTTCTTGATTTAAGCTTAAATCTGATTCAATCAAGAGTATTTTCTCTTGTCGAAGTCTTTAAGAGTCTGGACTCTAGATCCAATGTGTTTTTTTTTTTTTTTTTCCGGAGTGTTCTCTTGTCAAGCACCATCTCTACAACTCCGCACTGGAATAAGAAGTATCTTGGATCTAGAGTCCAGATTTTCAAAAACTTTGACAAGGAAAAGTACTCCTGATTCGATCGAATTTTTGCATGAACCGAGAGCTAAGCCTCTTAATTTAAGCGGATTTCCCTTTGATTCAAGGAAAAATCCGATTGAATCATGAGTATATTTTCGTGACAAATACTTTAGAGTCTGGACAATGGATCCAAGAGGCTTCCTTTCCAGTGCGGTGTACAATCGTTACAATTACAATTTACAATACAAAATTTTTTCTAACTCTTGATTGAGATCAGCGGAAAAATAGTGAAATTTTCAGTTGGAAATGCCGAAGATTCTCCGGGCAGAAGAACAATTTGCGAGACAAAATTTACAGTCAAGTTTTTTCGTGAGAAAAACGACGAAGTATGACGTTTAAGGACGTGACGTGAAAATCCGCACAAAGCGCCCACACTCAACGAACATCATCGTTACGGGATTCTTCAGTATCAATTAAAGCGAGCTGATGGTTGTGAGGCCGTTCAGTAAGACTCGTAAAATTCGATGTGATGTTCGGATCCGTTTTGAGACGTAAGAGTGTAGGTGTCTATAAAAACGAATGTACTAAAATTGATGCACTGAGAATGTATACACTGAAAAAAAATGGTGGATTTTACCATACTTTGACACAGTGATTTATGGTAATAAACATAAGACTCTAAGGTAGAATTTACCACGTTATGGTAAATATCGCCTGAGTCCCGGCGAATACTACTATAATTCCGGTAAAATTCACTAAGTTATATCACTCTGTAAAAAATCAAGAAGACTTATGCTGCCGTGCTATAGAAAAACGCCGTATGAACTTTCAGGTGTTGCCAAATTTCCTTCGATAAAAACCAAATTTACAGGAAAAATTGTGAATATTTTTTTCTAAAATTTTCAGATAATTTTGCACACAATACAATCTAAAATATCTGAAAATTTCAAGAAAAAAATATGCATAAAAAAACTCGAAAATACATGTCTTATTCGGGGAAATTCGGCAACTCTCGACTGTTCATACGGCGTTCTTCCTTAGCACGGCAGTATAGTAGGTATTACCATACTTTTTTTCAGGGTAGAAGGGGAAAACTGGGAGACGTACCGGGGCTGAAAAACGGCGACATGAGGGGGTGCAGGGCACTCGAGGCGGCCGGAAAACGTTCGGAAAAGTTGCGAGGCGCGTGAAAAGCGAAGTCCGAGAGACTATGACGGGAGGAAGGCGGGACGAGAATGGCGCGAACTGCGCGTATCTGGACTCGCGAACTGATCGGAGGCGCGTGGCTGGCGAGTTATTAGCCATTGGGCCCTGATAGCACCCCCGGCGGCCTGCGAGGGCCACCACGCTCGACGCTCGGTCGCACGCCATTAGCCACGTTAGCAAATCAAAATAAACCTCAAAATAAGCGGTTCTCACGGAAGACAGTCGGACGTATTTCTGCCAAACGGAACTATGTGCATACAGACATGAGCCCTAAGACCCATAAGTATATATGCATAACAAGGCTCACGTCATAACGCACATAGATCCGTTTGACAGAAATACATCAATTAACTGTCTCAATATCGTGGGACAGAAGGGTCGAATTTCTTCGAAGCCCCGAAAAACTCTCAATTTTTACTGATAATTATGACGATGTTTGATCAGTGAGAATTCAAAACCTGCACTGTCATATCGTCGCACCTTTAACGTAAGGGCGCGTATCGATTAAATCCCACGTGAGCCTTGTTGTACGTGAAACTCCATGCTTTTCGGAGCTCATGTTCAAATAGAGATATTGCATCCTTACGTCAGAAAAGCGACGATATAAATACAAACTTTGTGTCAGTGTCTGTCTAGCTCGAAAATTCTTAGTATGCTGATACGTTTTCGGGGTCCCTTTTTCTCAGGCTCAGGTGTGGCCTCCTCAAACTAACCTGAAGTCCTCATTTACGCGGGTTACTCAAAGTTTGGGGGCCCCTGAAAGAAACCTACCGCGGCCCTCTGAGCCACCCGTCAGAATTTCTGGGGTGCTAAATCACCCCAGCACCATTGGCCGGGCCGCCCCTGACTTGTGTTTATACGACATTTCGACTGCGATCTGATATTAGTACATACTTTTCTGTGGGGAAATAATCTTTGCTGTAGGACATGTTCAGTCCCAACGCAGTTGTACTTTTATTTACGACGATAACTCGTCAGACTTTCCGACGCACTAAGATCTAGCTCGATGATATGACATCTCATGGAAGAGTTTTCGCCTTTTGGAGAAATTAATGCCGTAACCGACAGGGCCGGATTCACCTACTTGCCGCCCATGGGCCGCCTGTATTTTGCCGCCCCCTTCTCATTCGTTTTGAAACATCAATAAAAACCATCAGGTAAACGTGCAGCAGGGAGAGGTGCATAAGACGCGTTTACTCGTGTTGGACACTTTTTTTGCGAAGTCCTGTTAACATTACCAGCAAAAGTTCACGGAACTTTGCACGAAAGTTAAGTTCGGTGAACCTCTCTTTATGTGAACAAGGCCTTCCATTTATAAAAAATGAACGAAAAAATTATGAAAGAACAAACTGACCGCACTGTGTTTGATGCAATGCGTGAAGCATTCCTACAGTCAAATAGTGCGTTTCACACCGACCGCTTCTGAACGCACTGTGTTTGACGCAATGCGTGAAGTATTCATGCAGTCTTGTAGGCGATATGCGTTTCGCGCCGTCCGCTATTGACCGCACTGCGATTGACGCAATGCGTGCAGTATTCATGCAGTCTTGTAGGCGCTATGCGTTTCATGCCGACCGCCGCGCCGCGCCGTTCCAGGTTAAATTGCGTGTTCGGTTTCTCTCTCAACTCGACTAATTAAAGGTGCTGTCTCTTGTATCACCGAAAGACGACAAAATTAGAAATTACTATACTTTTACTCTCAGGAAATGAGAGATTTTGTCGCCTTTTCTCGTTTGTAATTTATTTTCTGAATCCGATTTTTTTCTCTCTTTTTTTGATACCTACATTAAAAAATTGCAAAATTTGCCGCCCCCTAAATTCTTCGCCATGGGCCGCGGCCCATGTGGCCATCTCCTAAATTGGGCCCTGGTAACCGATAAAAAACATAAAAATCGCCGAAGTTTGAGATTAATTCATCGCTCCAAATGATATTTTGATAGTACACTTGAATCCCTTCCCTTATGATTAAACAAAACTGTATTTATGGTTAGATGACAAAACGTCGCCAAAGCGTAGATCTGTGGGACGATTTTGTCAGCAGTACAAGTTCTGACACTTCCAGAAGCAATTTTTTGTCCTCCAGGCGCTCTGCGACACATGCGAAGCAGTGAAGATCGAGCCTTCTGAAAGACGATCAGTCATGACTTCAGCTATATTTTCCGATATTTCTGAAATACTTCAGTTGTCATGCGGAGTAAAGCGGTAGGATGACGGAAGATAAAAACCATTGTAGTCCACTGTGCGTTGGCTCCTCCTTGACATCATGATTTTACTCTAATTTTTTTGGCAAGTACATCACGATCAACATTTTAATTACCAACTGCGGAAATCTTTCCTCATATTAAATCAGCAAAATGATAATTATGAGCTTAACCATGCTCAATACTCCGGCCGTGTCTATGAAGAAAAGGAAAATGACATCATGCACACCATTACGGTAATTGTTGTTTAACCTTAGAATCAATTTAATGAACAACGGCAACAAAGCCACGCTTGTGCGATCCGCACACACATACACATCGTGTCCATTCCACGCGTTAAGCTGTTTTAAATTCATTTAAATTAACCCCCTTCCCCCCCCTCCGGGTCGAAGGGGGGATGATTGTGGGGGGGATGAGGGGACAGCGGGGGCCGAAGTAAGTGATTAGCTCCGCGGATGTCATGAGCGTGGGAACGCCGCAGTGGCCGCGCATCTAACCAGGGAATGTTGTTGGTTCCCTATTGTTTCCCGACTAAACTCCACGTCCGTTTCCATTTTCCCTTCGCTGATCTGAATTTTTTTCTTGGCACTTTCACACCAACGAGGTGGTCATCGAATTCTTCGTCTATCCTAATGCAGTGTGGGTGCGTGAGTATTGTGGGAGGCGCTGATTGACTCGAGTCCCTTCATACTGAGAGTCAAGGCAACACCCCCTTATGAAGTCACAATCGGGAATAAAGATTACAGAAATTGAACGTTACCGTAATCTTTGATCGGTCCAGTTTCAAATTCCTTTCTCCGTTCCTTCTCTCATTCCGTTTGTTCCTTGACGAACCCGTAATTCCCTGGTCCATTCCAGATTATAATCTTTGCAATCGGTGAAAATGTAATCTTTATTTCCGTTTGTGACACTGTGAAGGCCTAAAATGCGGGAACCAATCAGAAATGGATTCACATTGTCTTGACTCTCAGTATAAAGGGACTTCATGATTGACCAAGTCCTTAAACCGGCGAGGGGGGGGGGGATAAATATTCACACTATACAGGGTCAAAGATCACGTTTACACATACCGAGAAAACTTGGAAGGCCTCAAATTTTTTGTCTTTTAAGTGAATTATTTAGACCCCTAGTTCGAATGGTGCATCATCGCATTTACTATTCAAACATTTTAAGTACAAACTCGTTTATAATTTTAATTATTA